CCCTTGGTATATACTTGGACTGCTGGATGTTCCTGAATTTGGTAACTATGAATCTCATTAATGTGTAGTTAAGGCAAATTGCCCTAGCCTTTGTTATTTTGTAATCTCCTGGTCTGTTTGGTGTGCTCTGTACTGAATAAAGATCCTTCTTATTTCTAATTGTCTCTGATGCTGTAACTTGAACTCCAAGGCTAAATTTTGTGGCTGACCCTGACCACCTACGCTACCTTTGTAAGAGTGAATAGTGCGCATCTCTGGATTGAGTTGCTAAGGTGTTCTGTCCCAGATGCCAACTAAGGGTTTGGAATCTCTTCCCTTAGGAAAAGCAGGGACTAGTGAAAAGAGGTTCTGGTGGCAAATTGTCTGGAAACCAGAGAGGGTATAGAACATCTCGTGGTTCGTTGTTTAATGTACTGAAAAGTACAGGATTCCCTCTCATCCCTGGACTGGCCTGGGTGGGCTAATCCTGTACAGGCTACCCATGACTTTGGATGCCAGAGGGTTGTAATGTCAGGTCATGGCTCCATGTGCAAAATCAGCATTCCAATGAATACCATTTGTTGGAGAGAATAACATTTGCCGGAGGGTTGCTGCTTTCAAGCCTTCCGTGTGGTCTTCCTGAAGTCATCTAGATGATCCAGAAAGGCTCTTAATGCATTTGTAATGGGAGGGTTAACAATTGGCATAGCTTTGTCACTGGAAAGAGTAGAGGCGTTGCAGTGAAACACACTATTCCACTCCTGACACGACAGGCTTTTGAAAACGCAGAAGACGCAGCCAAAATTGAATGTAGCACATTAGCTGTCTGCTGAATCCAAAAGTCCATCAATGTTATCAACAGCAGAACTTGAAACAACATTAATCTCGCGTTGTTGGCTCAGAATCCAGATAACCAACATGGGCTTAGCAAAAGACAGGCCTGCTTTAACTAATCTCCCCGGTGTCTTTTGAGTCGCCTTCAAACATGATTGATAACAGAAGCGTAGACTTGGCGCAATCTAACAGTGCATGTTATTCTTCTGCCCTGCTTGAGCATACTGTAGCTGTTGGCCATCTGAATTAAATAAGTTTCAGTGGGTAGAACAACTTAAGAGAAAGGAAGAAGAAAAATGGGACCGTGTGTAAAAACAAGTATGAAGGAGAACATGCTGAAGAGGGAGTTTCTAACTACATGCTCCTGTTTACCTTTGTTGCTTGTATGCCTCTTCTTTTCCTTTGCTGAAAGCACCTCTCCTCTCCCCCCACCCCCTGGAGAGCCAGTTTGGTGTAGTGGTTAAGAGCGTGGACTCTAATCTGGGAGAACCAGGTTAGATTCCCCACTCTTCCACGTGCAGCTGCTGGTGTGACCTTGGGTCAGTCACAAGTTCTCTCAGAGCTGTTCTCTCAGGAGCAGTCCTCAAAAGAGCTCTCTAAGCCCCACCTACCTCACGGGGTGTCTGTTGTGGGGAGGGAAAGGAGTTTGTAAGCCGCTCTGAAACTCTGAGAGAAGGGCAGGGTATAAATCCATTCTCCTACTACTACTACTTCTTCTCCTCCTCCTCCTCCTTCTCCTCCTCCTCCTTCTTCTTCTAATTGTAAACTGACTGAGCCAAACTAAACTCGATCATACAAAATGCACAGACCACCTAGCTCAGCTGTACTCCGACTGGTACAGACACTTCAGCAGAGCCAACTCAATGCATTTTTCCAGTCCAAGCACCCACCTCCCATGCTGCCCCCACCAGGTCCTAGGCAGGCTCCAGATAGGGTCATCAGCTGAGGACTGACAACCAGTAAGAGGCTTGGATGGGCAGGGCCATTTAAGATGTCATCACTGTAATGAAGCATGAAACTGGAAGTGACATCATTGTGTCGGGGTGACACTCTAGGATTCCACTAAATCCATTGTAAAACCAAAGAATGTAAGTGATAAAGTTGCTAACCCCCCCCCCCCCCGGGCCCCTAGACTAGGAAGGGTAAGGGGGTAGGGTTACCAGCTCCAGGTTGGGAAATTCCTGGAGATTTGTGGGTGGAGCCTAGAGAGGACAGGGACCTCAGTGGGATACATTTTTTATTTTTTTTTATTATTGAATTTCTATCCCACCCTCCCCTGCATAGCAGGGCTCAGGGCATGTTACATCAAGAGTTGTACAACAGAATTAGACAGTTGCTTAACAGTTAAAACATAACTATAAAATATGATATAAAAAACCTACAATAGACCAGATGGTGATCAGTAAATTTATAACTTCCTAAAATTAATAACTTCTGTAAGAATGCACACTAAGAACCAAATCCTGGGCAAGTGGACAGAACTGCAGAAAGCGGCACAGAAGAGACAGTGATACGCGGAGGCAGGCAGAGCCGGGGAGGCTTATGTAAGAGGATACCAGACGACTCAGCCATCGGCCCGGTGGAACATCTCCATTTTACAGGCCCTGCAGAACTGTAATAAGTCCCCCAGGGGCCCTGATCTCACCTGGGAGAGTTCCACCAGGCTGGAGAAAGAGCCAAGAAAGCTCATAAGAACATAAGAGAAGCCAATGTTTGATCAGGCCAATGACCCATCCAGTCTAGCACTCTGTCACGCAGTGGCCAAAAATACCAGGTGCCATCAGGAGATCCACCAGTGCGGCCAGGACACTAGAAGCCCTCCCACTGTAGAGCAGGTAGAGAAAAAAAAGCCCTCTGACTGATAGAGCAGGCTGAGAAAGAAATACTTTTCTCCTTTTCTCACAATACAAGAACTCGTGGGCACTCAATGAAATTGCTGAGCAGTTGGGCTAGAACGGATAAAAGGAAGTCCTTCTTCACCCAAAGAGTGATTAACACGTGGAATTCACTGCCACAGGAGGTGGTGGGTGGCAGCTACAAGCATGGATGGCTTCACGAGGGGATTGGAGGCCCGTCAGTGGTATTAGCCACAAGGTATAGATAGGAACTCTCAGTCTGGGGCCAGGGATGCTCTGTATTCTTGGTGCTTGGGGGGGCAACAGTGGGAGGGCTCAGAGGTCATTTCGGGGGGATCGCAGTTCCCCCGGGTGAGGTACGGGGCGGGGCACATGACGAAGCCCAGCCCCCTGCTTCCGGCCGCCCCGCTTCTGGCCCTCATTCAGCCAGGAGGAGGCAGGAGAAGAGGGAGGGTAAGTTGCTTCCTCCCTGCCTCTCCCCACCCCTGCCTGGGGCCAGGGAGGGCCTATGCGGGGCTTCCTTGCACTCCCGCCGGCCTTGCAGGTCCACCGCCAGGCCCCTCATGGGGCTCGGCAATGGAGCTGCAAGGCCGGCGGCGGTGGCCGGGACCGTTGGGGGCGGGGTGTGTGGCCTTATGACACACTTCCGGTGATGTCAGGGGGTGTGGCCTTATGACACACTTCCGGCGATGTCAGGGGGTGTGGCATATGCTAATGAGTTATGCTAATGAGTTCCCCTAGCTCTTTTTCTACGAAACGGCCCCTGGTAGAGCTTCTAGTGTCCTGGCCCGACTGGTGGACCTCCTGATGGCACCTGGTATTTTTGGCCACTGTGGGACCCAGAGTGTTGGACTGGATGGGCCATTGGCCTGATCCAACACTGGCTTCTCTTATGTTCTTATGTTCCCCCCCCACACCAAGCACCAAGAACACAGAGCATCCCTTGCCCCAGACCGAGAGTTCCTATCTATACCTTGTGGCTAATAGCCACGGATGGACCTCTGCTCCAGATGTTTATCTGGCTCTGGTCGAGGCTAAGCAAATGTCCTTTGGGCCAGGGTCCACCAGCAGATGCTATTGAGTCCAAAGTATTGCTTTTTTTCTTCAGGGGAACAGATGTCTGTCTGGAGGTGAGCTATAAATCTGGGAGATCCCCAGGTGCTACCTGTAGTCTTATTTTATTGTTGCTTTATGAGGCTTCATAATAATCGTAGTCATTTGTGTTTGTGGCACATTGTTCATCACACACAAAATATTTTGTAAGTTTTTCTGGATTCTTTCATATTTTGTCAATTACGTATTCATCAACAATTGGGGCTGTAAGACCTGACGAAGGCACACAGAAACGGGATTCTTCTTACCAGCGCCGCATAGTCTCGCAAGCTTCACGTCGTGAACCTGACATTTGTTTACAACTCTTTGAAGTGTTAATCTCTTGAAATATTGTGTATGTGTTTAGTTTCCTTCACACCGTTTAAGTCTGTGAAAGTATTGTACCTTTACGACAGCTGACACAATACAAATATTGCTTATATAACTTGCATGTTTATTTCACTTTATTATACAGGGTGCTTTAGTATTTGAATATTGCCACCTGTAGGCTGGCATCTCTGTTAAATGAAATCCTAGAGCATCAGGGCATCGTTATGACCTCACTTCCAGGTTCAAGCCGGAAGTTACATCATGCCATCAGAGCAATGGTAATTTTTGCGGCATTTCCACCCCCACTGCCTTACCAGGCAGTACAAGGGGTCAGAGGCTGCCAGACGGGAGGTCTACTGCTGTAGCTACAGACCTTGGCAACATGGCAGAAGGGGAGCACACCTCCTTCTCTGCTGCCCTTCTGGGTCCAGCTATACAAGACGAGCTTTAGTGGGAGCCCCTCTGAAGACAGTCTTGGAATCAGGCATCAGTTCAGGTCCAGGAGGCGACAAAAGATGCAAGCTGAATATGCAATTGCTGCTATGCCGACCTTTTAACTGTTTTTATTGCTTAATATTGTCAGACTCCTGCAGCAATCAGTTTCCAACAGCTTTCATTCAAAGAAGTGTGTGCGTGTCAACATCACTTCTACCAAAACCACATTTTTACTGTAGAGAACGGCAAAATCATCGAGCATTTGAAATGTCATTTCTGGGTAAAACTCCAGAGACTGGAAAGTCCTCACGCATCTTATGCTCAGGGTCATCTTTTTGGGTAAATACAGGGTAATTAATAAAAGTTACTGTCCCAAGAAGACTTGGATACAACCAGTGCTGCATTCATTCAATTTCTGTGCCTTCTCCAAAAATACCCCGCAAGTCTAACGAAATTCTACTTCTTAATTTTCAGTATTCTGGTGAAGTCCCGGAAAACCGAGTGGAAGTTGTGGTGGCTAATTTGACGGTGATGGATAGAGATCAGCCACATTCACCTAACTGGAATGCTGTTTACCGGATTATCAGCGGCGACCCTTCTGGCCATTTCACCATCAGGACCGATCCTGTTACCAATGAAGGCTTGGTTACGGTTGTGAGGGTACGTTCTCATTTCTGACTTCACCTTATTTGGGGCTCTAGCAGCCAAACTTTGGGAGGAACCTGACTCTGCAGAATGGTCTGCCATGCCAAATTACACAATCAGAGATCCAAACAGTAATCATGAACTCTACAGCATTATACCCCATTGAAGTCCCTCCCCTCCCCCAAACCCTGCCCTCCTCAGACTCCACCCCCAGAATCTCCAGGTATTTCCCAACCTGGAGCTGGCGGCAACCATAGTGATGCCCAGCCCATTCACTGACTGTTCCTTGAAGGGCTGAAAAGTGAGGTGAATTTGAAGCCATTTTGCAGGCGGAGCTTAGCACACACGCCTCCGTCTAGTGGCTAACAGAGGAACTACAGCTGACCTGCAGTTTCTCCTTACTTCAGAGACAGTGAAATATATATACCATATTTTTTCTGGAGTGAAGAGGGGGCACAGGAGCCAGGCTAGTCACATGGAGATCAGGCATGAAGCTATCTGGACGCTCCCTTTTATTGCAGGGGTCTCCTGCTCTCCATGTGGGGAAATATCCCCTGTGGAAGAAGCCAGTGCTCCAAATTCCCTCTATGTTTGTGAATAATAATAATAATTGTTGTTGTTGTTGTTGTTTTAGATTTCTGAATCGCCCAACCCCACAAGCGGGCTCTGGGTGCTTCGCAGCATTAAAACAGATAAAATACGACCTGATTCACAGCATTAAAACAGATAAAATACGACTAACATGATAAAATCATTACAATGCCCTAATAAAACAACCAGTCCAGATGGTGATCAATCCGTTTTTTGCCAGCTGCTGAGTTCTCTGTGCAGCAGGGCGGGGAAGGGAACACGGGGCCAAAAGTGGGAAAGGAGGGTGCCAGTTTTAACCGTTGCTGCCCTCAACCAAATGCCACCTAGAGAACCAGGAGATGAGCAAGACTGCCAGAGACTTCACAGGTATTATTACAGGCAGCCAGAGAACACGACTGCATCCCTCCGACTTCGAGCAGATCAGTTAGAGATAAGACTCCTACAGCTGTTTTCCACCGTCTGCCAAGACACGAAAGGGATGCTTGAATAGCCTGCTCAGATCAGCGAGAACTTGCTCAATATGTCCCGTGATTTCTTTTCTCTCTTTTCTGGTTGTGTTTTGCCGAGAACAAAGTGTTTTCAGTCTTTTGAAAAATGTGACCTTCCCAGAACTGGAAAAAAAGAATTCAGTGTACCTCAGTGCAGTTGCTAAGGTTGAAAGAGCAGCCTAGCGAAAGAGCGACCCACGGGGGAAAGCAGGTTCCCTGGTAACTAGCTAACTAGCAGGCCGCCTGAAACAGCATTGAGATGAAGGGAGAAAAGGTGCGTCAGAATTCAGTTCCCCGTAACTGGTCGTCTTAATTTGCATACTATGCACATTGTTTTGCTAATTAAGCGGATCAAGCATATTTCACGTTGCGTTGTCTACTGGTTGTTTTGCATCTGGTCCTGGCCGCGACTACAAAAAGTTGGAGGAGGACAAGAGGAAACGTCGTTTTACCTCACTGTGCCAGATTTTTTCCCTCAGACAACCAAACAGGTGTGTCGTTGATTGACTTCCCCTGCTAGTAGGGTTGCCAGCCTCCAGGTGGGGCCTGGGGATCTCCCGCTTTTACTACTGATCTCCAGCTGACAGAGATCAGTTCCCCTGGAGAAAATGGCTGCTTTGAAGGGTGGACTCTGTGGCATTGTACTATGCTGAGGCCTCTCCTCTCCCCAAACCCCGCCATCTCCCGGATCCCCCCCCCAAAGTCTCCAGGTATTTTCCAGCCCAGACCTGGCAACCCTACCTGCTAGCCAGAGTAGTCTTCGTCGATGTGGCACCCAGTATTGTGCTTCCTAGCACCCATTTTCTCCATGGGTCTTGGGGGTGAAATCCCACAGATATTCAGTGGAGCAGAAAAAGAGTGAGGGGGAGTTTCAGGTCACTCCCTACCAGATGACTGATTAGTAGGGGTACCAGCTCTGAGCTGAAAAATACCTGGAGATTTTGGGGGTGAAGCCAGAGGAGGGTGGGGTTTGGGGAAGGGAGGGACTTCGATGGACTATAACGTTATAGAGTCCACCTTCCAAGGCAGCCATTTTCTCCTGGTGGACTGATCTCTGTTGCCTGGAAATCAGTTGTAATCCCAGGACATCTCCAGCTGATTTTGTGCATCCTCTGCTTGGTCATAGACCTTTGCACGTTTCTGGACTTGGACACCTCTCCTCGCAATCATGTCAGGACCCAGGCCCATAGCTGCAGTGGGGCCTTTGGAGCCCCACCCCCTTAATTAAAAGCCCCACCCCACAAATAGCCATGCCTGAAACCTTATTTTTGAGGAGGGGCCCTCAGGCTTCCCTCTCTGTTCTACTTTGGAATTGGGGGGGGGCATCATGGGACCCAGGAAAAGACACCTCAGAGGGCCTTTGATTGCATGTTTCCCAAAGGCTCACGGGAATGCTTTTGGAAGACTCACCATGGCCTAGGTGGTATACGACAGGACGGGGCTAGCAGAAAGGGGGATTGTTGTAGACGTATTTATTGTTTAATTCGATTTCTATCCCGCCTTGCCTGACAAGCAGGCTGAAGGCGGCGTACAATAATAATTTACAATAAAAACAGATAAAATTCTAACAACAAAATAGAAAGTGCAGATTAAATACGAACGATAAAGTGCAGATGGCGATTGTTGTCGTTGGCCCCGTCTGACTCCAGACCAGTATCCCAAAGAAAGTGCCAGTAATAGATGTTCAGTAGCTCGTTCAGTGGCGGCTCCCAATTCCAAGACCTGTCGGCAAAGTACGGTGGAAGAGCTCGGTTTTACAGGTCCTGCGGAACTGTGGAAGGTCCCGCAGGGCCCTGATGTCTTCCGGGAGCTCGTTCCACCAGTATGGAGCCACCACTGAGAAGGCCCTAGATCTGGTGATAGTCAGTCTGGCATCCTTGGGGCCAGGGACAGTCAGGCGACGTATTGAAGGTACCACTCTTGAGTACCCTTCTAAGCTTTCTTGCCCTCTGGAAGGGAACTCAAAATGCATTTAAATGCCTTCTGAATGCAATTTAATGTACTGTGAGCTGTTTTTTTCCTAGGAACTGATACACTTGCTGCCCTGTTCCTGGAAAGGAAGGGCTAGAAACAGGATCAGAGCCTCCCCCTTTAAAGACAGGCATTCAGACTAATTTAACTAGCTATAATCTAACTGCAGCCTTAAAATTTTAAATGCCCCCTGAACAAAACAAAAAAAATCCTGGCTACAGGCCTGTCAGGACCAATCCCTCTCCTTTGAGACCAAACCTTCACTCCACTTCCTGGGAGCTGAAGGGCCTTCAGAAGAATCCAGGAGGCACCGCCTTTGCCTGGGACAGCACTAGGCTTAGAACCTCACAACATTCTGTGGCATTTCCCAGTGTAATGTGATTGGACCTGCCCTTTTGGCAGCCATTTTGTGACTGACTTCATCCCTGTGCATGGTGCCCAGGTCTCCCCCTATAGCAGGAGACCTCCCGCCCTGCACCCTGGGAGCCTACCACTGCTTAGTAGCAATGCTTCAGCTTCACTCCAAGCTTCAACATGGAAGTAGTGACACCATCATGCCAGTGTGATGCTCTAAGATACTATAAGAACTATGGTAAAACTATAGAGCGGGGAGGGGGGAATCCTGTAACGTTGCATTGATGGGATGTTGTCACTTCCGGGGTCACACTGGAAAGGCTGCTTGTGATGCTAATTTGCATGTCCCCACCCCCTAAGCTAAGGTGGCTCAAGTGGTTAAGACCCTGAACTGCAGGCTGTGGAAGGTCAGTAGTTCAGCAAGACCCGAGTGTGCCGCATGACGGAGTGAGCTCCCGTCTCTAGTTCCAGCTCCTGCCAACCTAGCAGTTCGACAGCAAGAAATTGCAAGTAGATAAATAGGTACCACTTTGGTGGGAAGGTAACAGCGTTCTGTGCACCTTGGTGTTTAGTCATGCCGGCCACATGACCACGGAAACGTCTTCGGACAGCGCTGGCTCTTCGGCTTTGAAACGGAGATGGGCACCGCAACCCTAGAGTCGGACTCGACTGGCTTTCGAGCAAGGGAAACCTTTACCTTTTTACCCCCTAAACTCCCTCCGGTTTCTAGGCTTGTGATGCTAATTTGCATGTCCCCACCACCCCCTAAACTTCTTGGCTGGCCATTTTATGGTGGTACAAACGACCCCTTCTCATCATTCCAACAGTGTCATCAGGCTCGACAAGGATGGGGACCCCCATGTTAGGTGAACTTGTCTCTGTCACCTGGAGATCAGTTATAATCCCAGGTGGATTATCCCTGGAGGCTGGCAACCCAGTCAAGTCCCCACATTGCTCCTGTTTCTAGCGGAAAGGCCTCGTCATGAATAATCCAGTGCGTCATCTGGTTCGGTTCAGGGGGCGATACTTTACGTTGGACCAACACAGAAGGGTGCCTGATGAGAAATTCTGTACAGCTCTAAAAGCCTGCATACATATGAGGAGTTAAAAATTACTCTGCCTTATTTTATTTTGTTCTTTTCTAATGGTGATTTGACAGCCTCGGTCCGTTTAATTTAACAGTAAAATACATTCTCCAGGTTGAGGGTGGCGTTGTTTTTCTAACCTCAACAAGAAAAGCATTTAACTTGTTCTCCCCCCCCCCGCATCAACAGCCGAAAAACACAGAAATTCATTTTTTAAAAAAATCCCTTTCAAAAGCTTACCGTTTACACCTCATTTAGCAAAACCTGAAATGTTAGGAGAGCAGGTTTACAGCAACATTAAAGACAAGACAAAGGGGGACATGGGGGGGGGTACGGAAAGGAATTTGTTGTGTGTTTGTGTGCATGTGTGTGTGTCTCCTTACACAAGGACATCCACATAATGAGCTATCCTTTTATTCAACCACTCCTGCCAAAAAGCAGGACATATTTTTCAAGACAGGAATTCGTGCCAGGTTTGACTTCCCCCTCACTGGGTAACCCATGGGCAATCACAATGCGAAGAACC